ACACACAGAACCTGTCTGAATGTATCTTTTTCATACATGCAGAGAGACACACATACACAAACATATTATAAAAGCAAACACAAACACACACGCGCACACACGCGCACACACGCGCGCACACACACACACACACACACACACACACACACACAAATTCGTTTGGCAACCCACTCACTCACACACTCACCCTCTCACTCATTCACACACAGCCATCTCCATTGTAACCATTCATTTCTACACGAGTGTGTCTTTTTTCTGCGTTTTTTATTTCGTTTTTTTTTTTTAACCGTTTCCTCCTTCTCAGTTTCTTCGCCCTTCCTTTCTTCTTTGTCCGCGCTTCTCTCTCTCTCTCTCTCTCTCTCTCTCTCTCTCTCTCTCCATCCGGGCTTTTCTTAATCCCAAATCCGTGTCTTGGGAGCGTCAACCGATCCGCCCGTAGTCTCTGTGGGGAGGCGATCCGATGACAAGGGGGATAACGAGGGGGAAAGTAGCCTCATAATGCTGTTTTCCTCAGCGCAGAAAACTGCCACGAGTAAGCTCCCCTGCCAGAGCGTATTATCGATAATCTAGCCAGAGAACAAAGACATTTTAGAAGGAAAAGGAGAAAAAAAAAGTGAGATGAAGAGGCGACGTGGCAAAAGCAAGTTAAGAACTAATGAATACAGCGGTTGGACAGAATATTGTATGCCAAAGAGCCAACAAAAATAAAAGCATCGTAAAAGCTCATAAGAAAGACAAAAAAGAGAGAACATAATCGAATTTTGATTCACGAAAGTAGGCCTATACGGGCTTTTTAATGCTTCCCATCCGTTCGTTTCTATTCAATAAATTTTATCCCGGAGACAAAAAACTAACGTATTGATTAGCCATGTTTCTAGTGGCTTTCACATCCTGGCTTCCAGGAGAAAACTTTGAACTTGATCGAGATGAACACTGATGAAGAAAATACGACGATGTCCGCAAAAAACTTGATGAGACAGGAATGTTCTTTCGGCTTTCACAATCAACACTTGAAAGCTAAAAGCCGACGTTGTATGAGATTTTAAATGAGATAAGACTGGGATATAAAAAAAATGTAATATGCAAAAATAAAAAGAGTCGTCTAAAGCTTGCGCAGAACATGAGCTTCCAGAAGGATAATGAAAAGAAAGGGTTTTTCTTATTTTTTTACTTTGTCGGAAGAAGTTGTAAGTTCCTTTATTCCTCTAATGAGCTTTTAACACTTCAGATTCAGAGGGTCCTTTATCTCAGGTGACATGCTGTTTCTCGAGGAAGTTTTGTTTTGGTTCTTCTGCTTGTTTTTATTGTTTTTGATTCAGCTTTAATAGTGAAGGTTTTCTTTTCGTTTTTTTTTTCGTTTTTTTTCCTTCGTTGTTGTTTTAAGGGTGAGGGGTTTGGTTTCTTTTGTTGTTTTTTGTGGAGGGGG